TGCAACCAAATTGCCCAGCTCAGCGAACAAGCCAACGACCATCTACGCTACCTGAGCTACCGACATTCTCCTCTATAGAAAAGAGTAGTCTATGCTAAAGGAGGTGTAATAGGTATTGATATATAGAAATAAGTGTTGACAGCTCTTGTTGTGAATTTGATGGTCGAAATATTGCCCGGGATTACTGGTATTGTCTTTTGCAGAATTATTCATGCAGCTAACGAGCGAAGGTCACTGGTTACGAATCAGACGGGTAAAGACTAAAGGTCATCCAGGCTCTGACCAAATGGAACACTTGTCAGCCAACAAATAGTTTGGCCACTCAAATGACCGACAAAAGTCGAAAATTACAGCCAGTTATCACAGCACATATGCAGCATCACTCAGGGCCCACACATACGCAGTGCTGAGCTACAACGCATCGAAACGTAACCACGCACAAGTGATATCTTCCCGACTAGCGGCGACATATACGCAGTATTCAAGCTCAGTGAACATTTCAGCTACCAGCAGCAGATACTCAGCGGTCAAAGGGAAGATGTGGTATGATTAAGTAGTGGCTTAGCTAGCGATGCGTGGAACTCATAGATACGTACATGACAAGCATTGGCGTTTGTCTCTATGTCAATGCACCAGACGTTTAACTATGATAGTGTTTCTAAACGTTTCTACACCTTGAAGAGGTTAGCCAGCCAGATTTTCACACTTACTTTTATCAATTCCTCGTTCAAAAGGTCTAGCATCTTGACTGAGCAGTGAGGGTTTCAGTAACGTTTCCGTGCAATGGCTTTTGGTGCCATTTTACGAACACAGCCGCGAGGCTTGTTGAGTTGTGGAAGCCTTTTGGGATTTACAATAGAGACTTTCTGCATCCAACCTGAGCAAGAGAAAAACCAAACTACTGTCGAAGTAGACACCCAGTTCTGTGAAAAAAAGTCCAACTTATCCGCCCAGATACTTATCATCTTGTCCTTATGTTAACCACAAAATTTATAACTCTGAATATTATTTGAATATTAATTTAAACAAAAACATTCACACGAGCATACGCCACTAAGCTTGAATGACATATTACTGGCAGTTTTCATGCATTTAGTTTAACCGAAGACGTCCTCTTACTCATTAACTCTTCACGAGTGAATGTGGACCATCTGATAGTCGAAGCCAGATCATTTTGGTCCTTGGGAAACATGGAAAATATTCCCCGAGGACTGTCAATCATACACTATAAGACTTATCTTAGATGTTCGCAGCAGACAGTTAGATCCAGATCAAGATTAATAATAGCTTGCCCAAATTCTCAGTCATCATTATCCAAAAAGGGATATTCATTCCAGCCTTACGGAATTTCAGAACTCAAGACTGGTCTTGAGAAAACCGTTAGTTTACGCGCAGCTTCCAGGGAAGCCACTATTTTGGTTTGTAACTGTAATGAATGAACACCGGTAGCTTGTTGATACAATGACAATTCAGACGATAAGGACGGCAACAGAATTCACTTATTTTATGCACGATGAGTATGTCAGTACCCCCTGACTTGAATCATTTGGTTTGAAAGATTGCGCAGTGTCTGAGATATGAAAATGTAGCGGTTGCCTAATCTGATTAGTGCATCCGCATCCACCGTCTGCCTCGTGCTTTGTTTTGTTCCACATCCTACAACGTTCATCACCAGACAAAAGCACCGATTCGATCTTGGACAGAAAGACGACCACTGTTGTTGCACTGAGTGGGGGACATTGTGATCCGGTTTCAATAGACGATCGCCTTAGTCATGTAATCTTGTACTTGGAATTTACACTGATGCGATAATTGTCGGTTGGAAACCTGAACTTTCCAATAAGTCCAGTGCTGTGTATTGAGATACAGAAATCAGGGTTTGGGGCTGAAGGAAGGGCTGTTGGCTGATAGGAGGGTGCGAATGCAGCTGTTCAGCGTCTCTGACTGAATGCCGATGTTAGCACATTTTAAGCACGGCACCTCTATTGCAATAAGTCTATTGACTTCACGCCTAGGTCAGGCAGCTCAACATTTTTAGGCATCTGAATATCCCACTTCTTAGTCCCCATCGAAAAAGGTGGCGCTTTTTAGTGCAGCGAGTTCACTGGTTTGGCGGTCCCGTTTCGTCACCAGCTAGCAACATTTAAGAGCTACCCACCAAGTGTGTGATTGAAGGGGGTCTCCCGGTGCATGGTCAGTTACGCTTACGCGTTTGTTATCCTCTTCACTTCGATATGCGTGAGACAAAAAATCTTATGAAAAGAAAGTATGCATTTCAACGACCTATTCGGAATAAACGTCCTGGGATTCAGTACTATGCACAGGCCTTTAGAACTGTAATGTGGAGCAATGTGGTTCCTCACCTTGCCTACATTTTCACTCAAAAGTCATTCAACCCTGATGTTTCATGAGATATAATCAATCAGCCAGTGGAGGCTATTTTGACATATTTCAGATGGAACGAATTGCAAGCTTACACAAGAAAGCGAAAATCACGAACATATATCTTGAAGCCAGACTCAGGTTGTCAGGGACGTGGGATCTACCTCACTCGTTCGATTAAAGAAATTCGACCGATGGAGAACATGATTTGCCAAGTGTACATAAGCAAAGTAAGCCCAAGTTACCGATGGTCCGCTTAATTTCTTTCTTTTTAAGATCGGGATCTTTAGTTTAGTTAATTTGACCCGAAAATTTTATGCAGACTGTGTGGAGCTCTATTCAGGCCATCCGTCTTTCCGTATTTTACCCTTCTGTTCGCCCTAAAAGGGTCACATTTTGTGCGCGTGTTTCAAACATTTTTTTCGGTAGCGCTATGCACGACAGTCTAAGAGTTCAGGCTTCGGGAGATCTATAAATGTTCCGTTGATTTACTGACTGAAAGCAAGAAGTTTCCATATTGTATCATCAGTTGTGCTCCCTGATCTTGGCACAACAATCGGATGAATTAATCGTTAAGCCTACCCATGTCAGAATCAATTGCTTTAGCAGCATAACGTCTGTGTAATAAAAACGGAAGCCTAAACCTTAAAAATACCCCTTTATGAGTTTGGTCACCGCGAACTTATGCTTCTCTGAACCTTTTCCTTAAGCTTTTGGACGAGGATATTTTAAATGAACCATTATATTGTCCTTGTTTATCACATTTGTTGTCATCGGGTACTGAGCATGATCGTGAATAGCCTCGGGACATCACTGGTTGAACCCGTAAGCAGCACACATCGAATAGGACCTAAACGCAGTTATTCATGGAATAAATAAAGTGGTTTCAACAGCATTTTTATCCGTCCAGCATTAGTATGGCCCCTCAAGGTTTTTGTGCTGCGGAAGTCAAAGTCAATTAGAATTCGGTGAACGGCTGTCTTGAAATTCGTGTTAAAAAGTTGTACACTTTGGGTTGAATAAAGCCGAATGTTACTAATATCTTTTCGCGCATTAAACGCCAAATCCCATTTTTACTGGGGTGTCTGTACCTCCCTCAGTCCCTGGAAATAACGTTTTGTTGATTCTGAATTCAACTTTTCCATCCAATCCATGTTTCAGCTCAGATCCGGTTTTTATTTCATTGTCGTTAGGAACTCTTTGGGCCCTAGACTTCTTTTTCAATCATATCTTAATATTGCATAACCTTATTATTGCAACCTCATCATGCTTTACATATATCTTTCTACTCAGTAAGCTGTCCGTGACTAATATTACTATTACTAGTATCAATAAAAGTCCCATTACAATTACGATCAATGTGCTCCCTGTGGGTTTAGTGGTAGCCGAACAGTGTGACAAGTGAACTACTCTTTGTTTCCGTTCTTATTCAAGCCTTCTGTGCTTCCTGAGGGCTCCCTAATTGTTGCAAATGGTAGCATTCGCAGTTATACGGCAATAATGAGGGTAATCAAATATCAAAATGCTCTACTTCTGGTTAAAGGGGACGCTGGGGACTAATAACAACAATGAAATTGCAAAGCTACGATTTTCTAAAGAGGAAAATGTCGGAAGCACAGGTAGCGTAGACGGTCGTTGGCTTGTTCCCTGAGCTGGGTAATTTGTTTGCAAACGTTTCATCACCAATCGAGGTGCCCACAACCACTAACCCACCGCTACGCACAACTACGCTCCTTAGTAACGCATTGATGATGTCACCGCGATTGGTGATGAAACGTTTGCAATCAAATTGCCCAGCTCAGATAACAAGACAACGATCAAAGCCACGATTTTTCTGCCTTACAAATCCAGACAGTTTCCGAAGCTTAATAAAGGTCGACATAACTCTATAATTTTCCAGAATATTGTAGTCAGCCCAAGAAGTTTGGATTTACTAAACAGCGACTGCCCAATGGAATAAAAAAATGAAAAGTGAATTCCTAGGTCTGTTAAAGATAATCTAACCACGCAGTTGATGATTTTTAACCCTTTTTTATACCTTAATCGTCGACGTACGACGCGATCATTTAAACTGCACATGCGTCACTAATCACGTAGCATACACTAAAATATATTCAAATACACCATTTTTCGTTTTCAACACCTCTGAATTAAATGTTATGTTTCAGTAAGTGCATGAGAGGATAGTTCCATAAAGCGATGCGGTGAGTCACAACGCACTCGTTATGAGTTAGCATCAGCTGAATTTGTTGAAAGATGCGAAATTCGTGGGATCTGTCATTCTCATGGCGTCATACGTGGAATCCGGCTCTCAGGCATTCATATAGTTCTGCAGAATGCGGAACGCAGGCAGAAGATTGTTAGAAGTCTACTACAACACTCCAGTGTCCACCGTTCAAACTCACTACCACAATGTGATAAGTGAGCCATACCACTGCGATGGCTGAATGATAAACGGCTTTGAAAATGCTGTGTGTTAGTTTCAAACATTGTTTAGGGTGGGAGTCTGAGTAGAGATGGTACAGGTGTGTGAAAGAGAAAACTAAAACTACGGAAGCTTAAGAAATTCCCCATCTCGTTGCTCACTTCCAACAAACTGCGTTACCCGGGTTGTTACAGGATGGCAACCAGGAGTGCTTTCTGAAAGCAGACAATCTATCCAGTTATTGTTTGGAACATCACGCACGCAAAGCTAACCGAAACTCATCTACCCTTAAGTTACTTCCAGTGAGTCAAGTTTTTTGTCTACTCATGGACACCCTCTGCATTACAAAACTTATACGTGGCGTCATTTGCCTGATAGAACTGAAGGTGTGAAGCCTATAAACCGTATGTTACGGCAGAACCTATGCACTTAAATCAGGAAAACCAATGTTGTAGCGTTTATTAGGTGCTATACCATTGAAATACTTCATTTATGCATTCAACTGGCCTCGTTCAAACACTTATTGTCTCCTTCTTGGTCAGCTCACACCAGAAAGTGCTACCACTTTCCCACCATGACATACTGGATGGACCTAAATGTAAAAATCTTAATGAACAAGCAATCTTTAACTCTAAGAGATGTCTTAAAACGTTTGCTTTTTGTATGATGAATATTCCCGTTCACCATGGAAACTTTGGTGTTCAGTTGGCAAGCAGGCATTGTCGATACATGTATAGTTTACGCCCAGACCTCTATCCGGTCAGAGGGATTGCGTAACAGCTAATCAACACAATTTTAAATCGGTGTTGCTCACTGAACATATCGACATCTGTGATACTAAAAATCTACCCTTTAAATGAACACTTTCTGCGGTTTAGCAAACTTTATGGGAAAATAGTGAACTACGCAATCAAGGCTGACCAGCACTCACAAATGATGGCTTAGCCCACTCAATGAGGAGCCCTACACAGCTTCGCCGATGAAAGCGAGGATAAAAACAGTTTTTTGTACAGACACATTGTTGATCGATGGTAACTATGGGACCGAAATAAGGAATCTATCAGTTAATTAAGAACACCATAATAGTGATGTATTTCATTTGAGAGACTTGGCAGGACCGAGACTCCACGTTATATTTCCTGAGCCCCATGTTCTGAGTATTGTAAACGATCAGTAACCTGGTAAAAAGATTTGAATCTGGATCGATAAAAGGAATCCCGCAATCGCTTCAATGAACAAAGTACTGTTGAGATCTTCATCCTTCAAGTGAGTTTGTATATTACATTCATTTGTAATTCAGGGTCTCAAAGTTGAATAACGTTTCCTAGGCAAGCAGTGAAATTGCATCGAAAGGAAAGTGATAGGAACAGCTCTTACACTGCTGGTAAATAGACATTTCAATGATCTTATGCAACCTGATCCCAAAAACTAGATTGATGCTAAGCAACAAAATGAATTTGGTGACATTTCCAGGTATTAAGATAGACAATCACACTGTCCTTCATATAACGTTATAAGACGGGCTGGACCTAGCCTTATAACATGGCGTCTGAACTAGTGGAGGGTAAGGAAGGCAGAATTGTTAATCTCTGGTTTTATGCACACCAACGTTAAATCTTATCAACTACAGTCACACAACGGCGGAATGTCCGCTTGAAGCTGTTGGGATGCCAGCTGATCTAGTTGGTGAGTATGAAGCCGAAGTTACACGAGGATGTGGCCACTGGATTTGGTTGAGTATGTGAAGTCTTAGTTATAGGCTTATTTGCACCAGTAGCGGCGTACGTGTTTTTGATGAATGTGATGTATTTTTTTTTTGAAAAAAGGGAATAGCACATCCCTTACCGATACATCAATGCATACATTTCAATTAACATATCTTATTTTTCGGTTCCAGCCTTTTTTAATTGATGGATATAAGTTCGACATGCGGCTCTATGTCTTGCTTACTTCGTGTGATCCCTTGCGGATATACATGTTCAAGGACGGTCTCGTGCGTTTCACCACAATTCAATACGTTGAGCCAAACCAACGTAACATGCACAATATGTACATGCATTTGACAAACTACGCTGTACAGAAACATAGTGATGGCTACATTCGCGATGATGAGGAAGGTGGGACAAAGCGACGTATCACGACACTCAACCGGTGGTTCACCCAAAACGGCTATAACCTTGAAAAAGTAAGCTAGATCAAATGGAACTGAAAGTATGGTGCTTGATGTCAGTGAGCCCTATTTATGCTGGTCACGCCGGGAGTATGTAGATGCAGGAATCAGTAGTTTATTTCGATCCTGATGTATACGTTTTGTGGATTACTGGTTCCCATCTGTACAGCAGTGTGAGAGGCAGGTTGAAGCACTGGGATTTTATGCTTTACCACTTTCTTCCTCTATACAACTTACTGAGGTTTTCTACGTAAAGCGGTCGTTGTATTAGTTGAATCAGTTCTGACTGTAGTGTGACAGATGAGGACAATGCACGAATCTGCAAGATTCGGGTTGCGTTTACTAATTTGGGACGCTTATGGTATCAAAATGGTGTATCCTGCATCTCAGGCTATAGTGCGGGTTGTTTTGTTCTGACTGTGAGCCTTAACCTATTCGAGCGGCGGAACCGAGACGTCTTCAGGTGTTTGAAATTCGTTGTCTCGGGACCATAGCTCGTGTGGGTTGGTGTCGCAGAATCCGTAACGACGCATTTAGAAAGCGAGTTTTCGGTTGTGCAACGGAGGCTTCCATTAAAGAATGTGTCCCGCACCAAAAGCTGCGTTAATTAGACCGTGTAGTGCACATGCCGAACCATCGTTTGCCAAAGCGAGTACCTTTTTTTCGTGCCCAATTCAGAGTGACGGAAGCAGAGAGGTGACCAACCCTTGACCTGCCAGAGGGGTATGAACGAGATTACGAAAGGTTTGGGTTCTGTTGGTGTTACTCGCCTTCTAGGATAAGGACCGCGAGATCCCCACTGTGCCGGTTTCTGAGACGCTGTGAGGCATGCCTGCTCATCGGAGTCAATGGCATTCGTGTTATCAGTTTCTATCCAGATTTCCTAAACGAGATTCTGGAGGTGTGGGCACATTGGACTGGTTGTAGTAAGCCAGCACTATGTCTCTTCCCTGCCCATCTTTATTATTTTCTTCACAACAAGGCTTCCAAATAAATCGCAGTTGTGTGGCAGCGAAGCGTCATGCTGTTAATTATGATGATGGTCCTTCTTAGCCAGTGCACAACATTTTCATTACGGAAGCATGTATTTTCACAGAACACTCATGAGGGTAATCGAGGCAGACTCACATTGGTTGTGCGATGCGGTTTAGGATGATTTGATAGAGATCCCGCACTGTTAATTACACCGATCGACGCTGGAAAACCGAGAGGCATGGCACGGCCGTTCCATCCTTGTTGGGACTCATCATCATTGTGCGTGTGACAAATCTTCAAGGATTTTCGAATTTGTGACATTCCGGCTAGTGCTTTGGAATCTTAACAGCTCAGCCGCGAGTAGCTAATCGCCAGTGCTATTAGCTCGTACTCAGACAGGATTTAGCACCCCTCGTCCCCTACTCACGGAATGCACTTCACGATGGATTTGCTGAGTGGCTGTCCGCGTGACGCCCCTTCAATCATCGGGCGGCCCATCCCCAACGTGCACACGTAGTTGGGCACTTGAGTTTCAGCATAAAGCATTGGCCGGCAAAAAATATCGAGCTCCATTTCTTTGTTGACATAAAGAGATGTATACAGGTGTACCTTAATAATTCTAAAGCCCAATTTTTGGCCGATAATTAGTCCACATTCATTATCGACTTAGGGGTGCCTCATTGATACTTTCAGTCTGTAAGATAAGTTGTAGATCATTACTCTATTTCTCTGTTTCCTATCAGAAAATATACAGTGAGCCATATAGCTACGGGTTGGGAAATAGATATTCTGAATTTAGTTAGCTTGTGATGGAGTGAAGACGACGTCCTTAAAAATGAGGGCTTCAAAAACATGCTGATTAGTACCATATGTACGTAGTAATGAGATCTTGAAATTTCAGACTGGTAATTCGTCATGCTAAAATTAGTTTACAAGTACGGTAAGCATGTCATTTACACTATGGGGTTTTGTTCACCTTCTACGTACTTTAGGTGGTTTGAAAAATCCACTTTATACATCTCGCTGCAGGCAAGATAGCCAGACTTGGTGGAATTTAGCTTCGAACTATTGGTGACCATTCATATTGGTTAATAATTCGTTAACTCCCAAAAGACCCAAACGATCGAAGCCATTGAACAAGGCCTAGAAAGAAGGATTTCCATAAGGCAGTCATTCCACTTGTTATTGGCAGGCGGTTGAAGCCAAACTAAAATATGGAGCGAAAAAACGAAGCGTAATTTAAATTCATTGGGATTACAAACTGTCTATGGTTCCGGATCATCCGGTAGACAAAACCTAATGGAGGTTTATGAAACCAGCCAATCAATACGCAGCTGGTCTTAAAAGCTCACAACTTTCAATGGTTCAGATTCATTAGCCTAGGTTTTGTACATTGATGTACCTTTCCAGTATCATTCTCACTTTGTTATTTGTCATAAGAGGGTCTTTGCAAGCCCGCAAACTAGTGAACGTGTATCTGTCAATTGGTAGGGAGCGCATCACAGGTAGATGAAGGCAGTATTATCTTAGAGACTAGTCTAATGGAGATTTGTTAATGATGATCGTCAGCCGGACGGTTTTTGTTCCCACAGATTTGGAATGATGTTGACGATGTCGTGATTAAGACAGTGCTGTCAGGATATGCCGTACTACGACATAACTACCGCACCTGTTTTCCAAACCACTCTCAAATGTCAGCCTGCTTTGAAATTCTGGGATTCGACATCATGTTTGACCACAAACTGAAGCCATTCGTGCTTGAGGTAAGTGCCGTTTTGGCGAACAGTATGCATGAATCATGTTGATATTCCTCAATTTTTGGCTATAGGGTTATGTACTCAAACTATGAGGTTCTTTATTGGCATAAACTAGAGGTCTGATTTCTGTTGTGTCCATTTTTGGGTCGGGTTTGACTATTGGTAGCAGGTCTGGTGAGCTGTACTAATTGAGCGCGTCATCAGAATAACAGTGCTTAGACCATAGCTTACCAATGAGTACAAGTTTGGGTTCGAGGACAGTTCATTTTGCGCTTGTGAGGGTACCGTTGTCATGATCGGAAAACAGCGTATTGAGAGTAGTCTTCAGGATCAATTTTCTCCCGCTGGATTTTGTAGCCTCAGGTGGGTATGAAACAAGTGAACAAAGTTGCCGTCCTTCTATGTTTCATGAGAGTCGTACGGATGGTCAACAGCCTCGAACTTATGCAGGGAGGCGGACGCGTCGTTACCTTCTTTACAAAGCCGTTTTTAGGGTACCGTTGTCATGATCGGAAAACAGCGTATTGAGAGTAGTCTTCAGGATCAATTTTCTCCCGCTGGATTTTGTAGCCTCAGGTGGGTATGAAACAAGTGAACAAAGTTGCCGTCCTTCTATGTTTCATGAGAGTCGTACGGATGGTCAGCAGCCTCGAACTTATGCAGGGAGGCGGACGCGTCGTTACCTTCTTTGCAAAGGATGCCGTTTTTAGACAGATTTTGTTTCCACGAAACGCTGTAGTGACGGTGACCTCAGGTAGCGAGTTCAGCCTGTGGGGATCGCCTAACCGTCTGACGCTTATAGGGCATTCGGTCTGAGACTCATGGCACTCATTGCAAAGCTGTAAACATGGACTGGTTGTACGGTTGTGCAGTGGGACGCTGATAATTGATTTTGGCTTCACAGACCGTTGTGCTTAGAACCTTTCATTTCTCTGGCTGCACCAGCAAAAATGGTTGAAATGGTGGGTACTAGAACTCAACCCTGTGCCTGACCAGCAAGCCAAGTAGGAATGTAGCCGGAACTGAGAGGTTTTGTGGTCCACAGGCACATTCAACCAAGGCAGTGTCTCAAAACTGACTGTGAAACGTCAGTGATATTTCGATCATGTTACATTTAACCGGGTTCAGGTTACTGCAAGTTTTTGGGTTAGGTTCTCTCTTACTAGATGACTGGCTTTGGAAGGGAGTTATCTTTAGAAAATAATCTGACATCTGTTTTTTGCCGTTATTTTGCATCGGGTTTAAACATTATTTATTCTTGCATGTTCCATTAAGAGCTCCGCAAGCCATTTTCTATTCAATTCGAATTCTAGTGAACTTCCCGAAATCAAAACCCTGTTCGAATGGATTTCAACAACGATGTTACAAAACGCCTTAAAAGTAGCAGTTGAAAGCAACAAACAGACAACTAACTGAAAACGGTAATATACAGCAATGCTGAACACGCCTGCCTTGTGTGTCTCCCATACCCCTTTGCTTGTGCCAGGCTCAGGTATGGAACATAGCAAGGAAATTACGATGGTCCAGTGTCAGTCGAACACGAATATTTTGATGTTATTGCATACATATTCACACTGGATATGAGAACACATTCACTACCTAGCCTGGTGGATATCTAGCTAAGCACAGCGAATGCCGTGTGAATACCGTCTTCGAAGTAGATTTTCACAGACAGCGCGCACCTGCCCTCAGATATTACCTGTCGTAAACTGCTATTAATTTGGGCCATTTGACTGCTCGTGCTCACTCAGGTAATTCTTTCCTCATTTACCATCCATCCTGGAGAGAGGTTAGATAAATAGCGAATCGCGTGCATAAATCAAACCGAATAGTATTTCAGAAGTAGTTCAGGAAGACCCTCTCAAGGGGCCTTCGCCGTAACCATCTATTCGGAGCCAACACCAGCAAGCACGTGGTCGACGGTGCATGTGTTACCCAACGGATCATCTACTCTATCCATCTGCATACATTAGGCAAGCTCCAATAAAGAAAAATGCCTTTTTACCTCAGTAGATTATCATATCCCCTATCAGTCATTTGAGGTACTTCTTAAACCTTTATGCTTTGTCATTCAGGTTAACCATTCACCAAGCTTCAGTACTGACAGCAAACTGGACAAGGAAATCAAAGAGGCCATGTTGTGGGATACGTTGCAGCTAGTTCATTTCGGCATGGTAACTAAAAAGAAGTGTGTGGAGGACGAACGAAAGAGAATACGAAGCAGGTTGTTGCAGAAAATGCAAAAGAAGGAAATAAAGTATGCAGTTTCTTTACGACTTTCGCCATTTCAAAGCTTTCACCTACATATCCGTTATACACCCTCAAAATAGGTAGTGATCTGAATCACTGCGGTACACTGATCAGTTTTTTTCAACCATGGACTTTACTGAATGAATAGATTCAGTTTTTTGGATGTAAGGCTGCGCTGATTTGATGCATAACGTTTAAGAATCGGACATAAATGCTCAACACAAATTTAGGAAAGAAGGAAGGAAAGATCGAATGCACAGTGTCGACATGTGTACAGCGGTGACACTGGAAAATAGCATTTCCTACCAGGCCATTCTGTGCAAATTTTGCATTTTTATTGTGCTAGGTACGTGCGCTAAAGAGTATATAAGCGAATTGCCAAATGAGGTTTGAGACCAATGCTTGTCTTTATCACGCGACGCATAGTCGAAAAAAACGTTTGAAAAGCGAGCGACTTTACTCGGCGAAGACCTTAGCCTTGACAGTATCACTGTATATGGGTGGCTAGCACAAAAATTCGACTCTTCAATGAACCTTGGTTCAACCACTGAGCGCGTACGGATACTTGTTAAAACGTTGTTGGGTTCTGCGTTGCCCGGTGTCCTGCTGAGTACGGGTCTGTGGTGGTGACGTAAGATATGTGGGGACGTGAGTAGCGATCAGTTGGTTTGACCGCAATGGCATAACAATGAGCACGTGCAGCAAGCATTTATGTGTTCAAGTGTCAGCACCTTTCGTCCGCTCAACCAAGTTTTGGATAATACCGCACTTTTTTAATCTTAGTGTCGATCACTGCTCCCATGGTCGTCAGCTAGCGCATCGTTTTGTTGTGTGGTGGGGAATCTATTCCAGGAGAAAAAACAAGCTGCGGATCTTGTCTTCCATAGGATATTAGCCCTTTGTAGGGTACTGGAACAAACAATCCATAGGTCTGCTGAAGTTGTACGTACAAGTGCATGAACCGTGTCGTATTTTGTGGCCTAGTTGCATCGTCAGGTTGAAAAGGCATTTTGGGTTCATTTAGTCCTTTCAACGCGTGAGAATTATATACTTATACTTACTGAACCTTTCTAACATAATGCATCTGTCTGAAGTGAATTCAAGTGCGACAGCAATAACTGCCTGGAAGCACTTCAGGTCAGCCTGTTTTGATTGATTTGTTCGGAGCCTGTTTGCGATATCTCATAGCTTGCACACCGTCATAATTGTCAGTAACCTTCGTTAGCCTAGGGTTTTGTGCCGGAATGTGACCGAGGCTGATTAGTTAAACAGTCCAATCACCTCGTTAATCTCTCGGTTCTCGAATACACTGTCAACAAAGGCTCAAATTAGTATGTACGTTGCCATATTGATTCTCCAGCCAATAAATCCGTTGCATACTCTGCACTGGGAGGCAACTCTACTGTTACTAAACATATAATTATGTTTGTTCATTTGCTTCGGTTGTATCAAATCATGAAGTTTACTTGATCCTGGGTGAATAGTACACAAGTGAAATCCTGATACTCTGTCAGAATGTCACCTGCTTATTACCTCAGGGCATAGCGCAGGACGTTTTTGTGGTTTGTACACAGTCAACAGAGACTTAATTACTTAAGGGCGACAATACCAGGACGCTCTAATCCAGTTCCTTGGAAGTCTTCGGTTCGTACACCTCGTCTTTAACTCATATCGATACAGTAAAGTGAAGCATGTTTGTTAAGCTGTTCGGCTCCATTGTTTTCGCACCCCGAGTGTGTTGAATAGCCTAACACAAACAGGAGAAGTACAATGTTTATTTGTTTGTGAAGCACCTCCGGTAAGACAACAACTAATGACCTAGTGCTGATTTTAATTTCAGTAATTACGAGACGTTTGCTCATACAAGACAAAGGGCGTTAAACTATACGGCCACCAATACAATGAAACGTAGTCTAATATAAGCAACTCATTCGAGGGAAGCCCAATACTGTGGGTTGGAGTTAAGAAAGCGAACTGGTTAATTACTGTTGTGCCAGCTTGCCTGCACAACCAGACGATCTTACACCAGAAATAAATCAAAGCTTAATTAGAACTTTGGTTTGAAGAACTCCCATGTCGCCATCCCTTATTTAAACTCGAAATAAAGTGCAGATATTGCAGACTGCAGCGAAGCATCGGTGTTGAACACTGATGTCATGCTGTCGATGATGATGATGATGATGATGATGATGATTACGCTAATGAGACTGGTCACGTTATGATATTTATCAGGAAATTTATGATTTCCCATGTTATAACATAATATCGGAGTGATTCCTGCGCTTTAGGTCAAAACATCATCACAGACGGAGACACTAGTTATGAAGATGGCTGAGATGGGGGAATCCCATTGTTGCGAACCAGAAAGCGTCACGAAGCTTCCACATGTCCGCATTGCCGGTGGCATCATCTTCAGTACTCTGAGACAAGTTGTTAGAAGCAATAAACAAGCTTCGTTATGATATTTTGTGGGTTGTATGTAACAATCACCTGTCACCTCAAAGGTTGAACATCTTTGATCCGGTTGATCGGCGCAAAATAGTTGTTGTTAGTCAGAGACAAATCCCGCATTTTTGTTTAATGATAAGCCGTAGATGTCAGAACACAGTTGAAATAGAGGCAAATAAAGAAGTACATGCTGAGGTTTTCTTGCGTATATTATATAGCCGAAGGGCTATTACTGAGCAATGTCTTTTCGTTATTAGATGAAGCGTCATAGATATTACTAGCCTTTTCTATTGTTCGCTCATGAATTTTTACTAATGCTCTAGCTGCCAGTGGATTCTAGGTTCCCATAAGTTGGATGGCATCTTCATCATCAACACACCACCACTGAAGGAATATTGTATAATTTATTTTATAGTTGCAGTGCTCGGAATGGGTGATTCACGAATATCAACGTAGCCCTAGGCACAGACGCTTCTAAGAATATTGCATGTACCCTTTTCTTAGGCTCCTAGAATTTAATTGTTGTTTTTTCGGTTAGATACTGACATGGCTGCAACACATTTTGATAGTCAGTTGCGAAACGTTTATGTCGATACTTGGAAGCCACATGACTGAATCTTATGTTGGTACGCACGCTTATGGTAAACAAATCTGATTCTTTCGACAGAAACTGAGCGAATTTCTTGAAATATCGGAATAATTGCGTTGTGGTTTAGGTACTGAGTGTTTCTGAGCTGACTTCGGTCCCTCCCTTCTTACTATGGGACAACTGTGTCAACAGTTAAGAAAGTAAAGCTCGCATCACTCGCTGCGGCGACCACACCCGGGTTTGTGCTCTGTTGGCGGTTATTCTATTCCCTATAAACTAGGTTTCACACAAATGTTCTTCTTGTGATGATCTGTTGCACTCGCTTCTTAGTCCAGCCAGGCCTTCGTTAACCTTCATCCTTCGTATTTCGTAAATTATTTCGACTAGGTTTCACACAAATGTTCTTCTTGTGGTGGTCTGTTGCTCTCGCTTCTTGGTCCAGCCAGGCCTTCATTAATCTTCGTATTTCCTCGTATTTCGTAAATTATTTTACTGGTTAGCTGCATTTTGACTGCACCATGAAAGGACTAAATTTGTACGGGAGCAAGGCGGATTTCATTGAAAAAACATGTGATGATTAACTGCAAGTTTGCGTGAGTGGATGGCATCATACCGTACTTATTCTGATACGCTTTAGTGACTTTTGAATGAGTAAAGTAAAACAAAGCTGCTATCCGTAAAATCTACCTTCAAAAATTATGCGCTGTTCAATTCTCAGTGAGAAACGTAACATGCTTCGTCACAGGAGATTTAAGGAGGCTTCGAATTCATCGCGCGAAACTGCTGCAAATGTGCAGCAAAGGGCTTTTAAATGTCAATGTGGCGAATATTGAGTAATCAACGGTATTCTTCATGGTGCATGCACGCAAAATGTTGCTCAGGTAAGCCAGAAGTATGGTTGGATTTGGGGGATACACTAATGGACTAACACGAACTGGGTGATGAAATGCCTGAAAGTTTTCATCATCATAACAGGTCATTTAATTTGCAAAGTAAAAAAAATTAACTTGGTTCGTTCGTTCTGTTCAACCCTTTATGTTAAAACAGTAGTAGGGATTCATGCCGATAACTTTTTGTTGAAAAGTCTTCTTATCATAATCTTGAGCAGACTTCTGTTTAGACAAACCTTTTTGGCAAATATTGACTGACACCATTTATTTGTTTTGTTTGGGCTAGAGATGCGAACGAGAAGAAAGTGGCAGAATCCGTTACAAACGCAGAACGCTACGAGAGCGCCCACGTTGGGAACTTTCGCCCAATCTTCCCCTGTGCGAATATGGAAAGATACGAGCCGTTTCTCACTCCACACGCACCTTTTTATCAAGAAACAATGACGTACAAAGTTCGAAGTGAGTGTGCACGGTAAGTATTAGAACTGCGACGCCGAGGAAAAACAGGCTGACTGAAGCGCAACTGTAAGTTGAGCCCGAGTGTCAAGTCGTATGTGCGACTCGCAGCTATTCTGATCCATCCTTCGGTATGCGCTGCGAACTGGAAAGTATTTTCATTGCTAAGTGTAGAAAGAATTTACGGATCTGGTCTTCGTTTTTAAATAGGGACCTTTTCTGGGTTTTTATGTGAGCTTTGGGCAGATTGAGGCAGGTACCAAACTGTCGCAATGAAACTCCCTTATAAAATGAACAAAATTATTGCCTGACATGATGTGCAGTCCACAGAACGTATGAAGCCAAGGAAAATAGTCTTCATCCGTATAGGCACACAGAAAGTTCTGATCATTTTCTATAAAGACCGTCTACATTCGTGTCCAAAACTTACCATTAAACAAACTGAACTAAGTGCTGAGTACATGCCAACCTCACATTATATTGCATTGTTTTTATATTCATCATCATCATCGTCATCGACAGCATGACATCAGTGTTCAACACCGATGCTTCACTGCCGTACAACCATGATTTATTTGAAAGCCTTATTGTAAAGAAAAGAGTAAGGGTGGACGGGGAAGGGACTTAGTGCTAGCTTACCACAATCATTCTGAGGTGCCTACACCTCCAGACATTCACTCAGGCAATCTGGATAGAAACTGACAACAAGAACGCCACTGACATCGGATGGCAGCCATATCTTGTAGTGACTCCAACCAGGCATAGTGAGTATCACGCGCTCCCCATCCTGGAGGGCGAGTAGCACCGGCAACCCCCAAGTGTTTCGTGATCTCCTTCACACTCCTCTGCCAAGTCAAGTGTTGGCCACCTCTCTGTTTACGCCACTCTGAGTTGGGCATGAAAAACAGCACTCTTTCTTCGTTTTAGGTTAGCTTTCACCAGCTACGCTAGCATTTGAGGAAGTTAACAGAATGCCTTTTTAGCAACATTTTTCTTGGAACTGCGTAAGCCACGATTATATGCGCTTGATCTAGCCCAGTAGAGGACCAAACTGGAGAACTTTCGTCCAAGAAGCCCGCACGATTAAAGCTTTGTAAAAACTGACCGAATACGTGGTCCACCTGAAGAGCAAACACCTCGAAAGAAATGGCATTTCGGCCACTCTCCGGTTACAAACTCTTTTCTTGATCTAAAATCTCACTAATGTGGAGGTGGAACCTTACCGTATTGTGACGGTCTGCGCATCCTCCTGACTGGTTGAGCCAGAACGAAGGATGTTTATACGGCATTAGTACTCGCTCATAAGTTGGCCAATAGATGCAAACCAGACTAACACGGTCTCCAGGCCCTCTATATTGTGGGTTTGAACATTTTTGACGACACATTCCTTGAACTTCATGCACGGCTGATAGCCTTATTCGAACCGGAGATGACCTGTGGTCAGGCTTTTGGTCAAAAGAATTGGTTGAGGGCCATATCAACCTGTTTATTGTTGGAATTCGTAGCTGTAGTTTGACACACGTACTGGTATGAACTGTATGAATACCAATAACAACATGCCAGATCGTCCGTTGAATTATGCCATTAGCCGGGTCGCCTTACTTGCTGCACACAGCAGGTTAGATACACGGGAGCAGGCTATTGCTAACGCTTCCTATCTTTCTTCAGTATTATCCCCTAACTCTCTTGTTGTTTCATTTAAGGGGCAGTTTTCTATAGTTTTCCGCCATGGGCACGTCCAAAGACCTCAAATATATCCAGCTATTTGATCACCACGTCTCCATTGTATAGCTGGAGCATGTACGTAGAAGAACGGTCCGTCGCATTCACTCGAGCAGCAGAATGGGATCTATTTGACCCACCTCATTGCGTTTGGCGAGGGACATAGCAAGAAATAGTGACTAATCGATGTCAGTGGTTTTGGTGCTATCATTTTCCTTCCAGATTGTCTGACTTACTGCTTAGAAGTGCAGGTACCCTAGAATGCTTGCGATAAGTTGGTAACAGGTTAACCCCTCATCTGCACCCTTCTCTTGCCCTCACTTAAGGGCTTTAATATAAGTAATTAAACTTTGCGTTTGTACGGTGTGTTGCATAAGTATCAGCATGAATATTACCACTTCTGATGGTGATGGCGTGCAGGTATCGCTTTCTAAGTAATGAGAAAGAGGTTCAACATAACTACATGATTACGAATTTCCGATTTGAGGAACTCCCGCTGAATGTTGCGCCTTGGATTACAAGTGTAAGCTCTTGATTGAAGTTAACCATAGACAGTAAGATTCTGGATGTGTGACTATCCGCCTACTTTAAAGAGTTTGGTAATTTTCGAGACCACCAGTGCAGTGACTCCTAAACTTATTTAGTGTCCATTATGATTACCATCTGTCGCTTGAAACAAGTAATTCTTGCTGTCTTTCTTAAAAAGGCAAAAATCATTCCATGGAGAAGAAATGTCTGTTCTCCAGAACAGTGATAAGATTCCATTTAGAGGCCAGAAATTCTGTAGAAATTTGGTGGACACTTGCGTGGAGAGTAGCTTCTCTATGGGGGCTGTCTTGCGAGCGTCTACTCCAGTTCAAGACAGATAATTCATTAAGTGTGAAATTTTTCAACCGGGAGGCATGTGGGAATCAGTTTCTTTTATCCCCTGTGTGTGACCCTACTAGAGAAAAGAGACGAAACTCGATCTTACCGTTCATAACGGTCTGTCCAAAATATAAACCCGGCTACAAACTTGCAAACCCGAATGAGTGAATGATGTCAAATCCGACTTCTTTGGATAACAGGCAACTCCGAGAAGAGATACGTCAGAAGCAAGAAAAACTAGATGCCATTCAGAATAGAAACAAAATTCCCCAACCAGAGAGTCCCGCACCTAAGAAGATTACAACGAAAGTGCAGCGATGCATAAATCGAATCGGAAGTGGGCGCAATATATCTTCGAAGCGCCCAATCTCCGTACCCCGCCACTCAGTTGGTGACCGTGGAACATCGGAAGCAACTGCGTCAGTCGCAATGTCAGCAGTCCATCAATCCGGACGCATGAACCCAAATTTGATGCCCCAGGCTATTGTCCCAGAGGAAGAAGAGGAAAGGATGAGGAATTTGCAAATCAGAGAACGGCTAATGCAAACAACTGGCGTTATCGATATGGTAAGACGCTTGCTAATGAACAGCCGTGGCGTGCAGGCAACCTTTCCTACCGAACCGTATTTGGTAAAAGCGGACGAAGGTGAGCCAGTACTCTTTTCAAGGTCTATCCTTTTTCAAGAGTTATTAATATCTAAGGACATTCCCTACGAATAATAGATTCTAAAAGAAACTTCAAGAGAGTCCAAACTTTATTAAGTGTGAACTTCGACGGTTCTTTTCGAGGCAATTGTTAGTTCCCTCTTACTGTCTGAAAGAGGTTGATATTCACATTACAGCTATATATACGTCAGGTGTCACTCTATCAAATATACTTACTTACTTAATTAGTTACAAGTATCTGCTCACCCACTCTTTTTCTCTTCTCTTCACTGTACAGCTTTTAATACAACTATATATATACATATATATATATATATAAACATCCAGCTCCAACATTCATGGAAACTGAAGCCGCTCTAGTCCACATGAGTATCCTTGGGCTGAATGGAACTGGTCACACGCTCATTGGGTAAACATGTACTCAGGTTTGATTTACTGTTAAAACCCATGATTATCTTGAGGCCGATGTTTTGGATAATGAAATTGCTCTGGCCTCACTACATGAAAACGAGCCTCTTGCAGGATATCGCACACTCTCGTTAACAGCCTAATCAGAAAGGAGGCCCAGAGCTGTTGGTTTAGTTGTCAATTTTTTGTGTTTGACAGTTTGTGCCGTATACGGAAAACGACCCGTTGTTGGCTCCCAAAAGTATTCAGTCTCATTAGCAAAATATACTCATTTGCAAACAAATTTGGTCTTGCGAGAGACTCACCTGAAACCCAGCTGAATCTTTCGTTTATGGTGTTTCTAATCAACTGAATGTGGTGCATCAGGCCTTCTCATCTTTCAGCTGGTATGATATTGGAGATATCGCGATACACGTATAGACGTAATACACTACTCATAAGCTTGCTGGGTTCCAGGTAAGTCTCTCACAAAGCCAAATTAGTTTGCAAATGAGGCATTTCTCTAATTTCGTCTCTGGGATTGCGTCTACTTGATGAGCCACAAGAAGGGCGAAACCGGCTTCGGCTGTCGAATAATTTTCAGCAACCCTATGGATAGTGTATTACGTCTATCCAGTTTCATGTTGTCACTCCCGTTGAGCGCTGGGTTACTTTGCTTCTGGTTTACGATGTTAGCGATCGTGAATTTCAACTGTTTTCAACATCTTTATGTTCCTGCTAGGGTCACTGTTACAGAAACTACGCATGAGGTCAAATGAAAAGTGGATGGTCATTTTATGTAAAGGGCATATATCAACGACTGTTTTTTCGCTCGTGATTTTCTAGTGATGGGCAGCCGTGTTGTCATACCACACAAACCTTGACGTCAGTGAGATGACTTCACAAAGCGTATCCTGATGTAAGCCCAGTGACGCTGCTTTTATATGAGCGTCGAAGGGCTCATACATAGCTGTAGGTACTGGTAACAAAATATCCGGTGAAATCTCCATTGTATTCCTTGTTGTACCTTCAAAGGCACTAGATTTTGCTGGTCCAGTGGGTACAATTTCCTGAATACTATCGATTTTTTCTCAAGATGTCCAGAGTTGTTTGTGGTAAACTGAGACTCGACTGCTGGATAAATACCCATCCTCAGCCGAAATGTTTGTGTCATTTACAGTCCATGGGATTCTGGTGACAGATAGTAGACTTGCGTTTGCAGATCATGAGTGTGCTAAGTTTTCTTGCTGCACAAGGAAGTCATTATGTGCGTACCTCACTCTATCATCCATAACCCAACCATGAAGCTTTGTTAACACCATCGAGTGGTGGCTTATGAAGTTTTGAAGCAAAAGGAACAATACGAGAATGTGCACATATTTCCATCGTAGTATCCAGGGCCTCCGATTCACAGTCAGAAGTCTCCTGGCGAAATAGTCCTGCTGGGACTCACGCCTTTACTTCAGGAATTTATGTTGCTCACGAAATGTAATTTTTATAAGGGATTGCTATATGAAGAGATGACGAAGGGCAACATCACCCGCTCCTAGCGCCCGCGCATATTTAAGGAGTTTTCGGAGACGTCGGGAAGAATGATGATGTAAAGTAGGTGTACAAAGCATCCTAAATGTATTGTATGGAAGTTGAGGATTTAACTAAACGCCCGAATTAGTCCCATGCACATCTGATACAATCGCCTCATCCTCATCTGCATACTTTGGTTTTAAGACGATTCTAGGGAAACTATTGAAGGAGAAAAGATAGCAGTCTCTCCCACCAAGTCCCATATTACTTCAGACGCAACACACCTTAAGCTTCCGGCCATCTATCAGGAAACTACCAATCTTTGCCTGAAGTCATATGATGTGTAGCTAAACTAGTTTAAGTGTTGCCAGTCGGCCTATGCTGCAGTTCGAGGAATTACTGGTCATTCCTAGTACGCATTCATTTAATCCCCACATTGGTTTCTCTGCCGGCTGTTATACTGTGTTGAATGTGCCCGTGAGTATACAGAGCATTGGGCCAGTATACTGCACCCAGCTCAGTACATGTATGTGGAGAACTGGAGTGAAACTTAGGGCACCAGGTTAAGGTCCCTTCAGTCATTGCTGACTCACCACGAAGCTTTCTTGATTTTACATTTTAGGCCAAAGCTTTTCCACAACATTTATTGAGTCCTTACTCTTAGGGCTAGGACAGAAATGTGAGATGCTGACTCCTAGGCATTGTTTGCTAATCATCTGTCATCCAAGCGTTAGTGCGTTCACTTGAACTGGTAACTGTCTAGTGAAAACACGCGGAGAACAAGTGTTCTTATCAATTCAAAATTTCAGGTGTACCGAACTCGAAGAACGACCGTCCAACTTCATTGGCTGCCCAGCTATCACGGGTCTACCATCCCTTGGAAACGACTGGTACAGTCAACCGTCAGATTTTTTTCTCAGTAAGTGAACTATGTACGGTAAAATCATTTCACAATGACCACTGACAGAACCGATTGGGAACGATCACCCCACAAGGATGTACGCCGTAGACAATACTGCAACACGATGCTCATCCTAGTATAAAAATGACGTTCTTTCGTCAGCTTGATGGAAAAAATGTGTAGTTAGTGACGTGTAAATTTTAATCTAGCTGATGATGCCAGCGATAAGAACACTGTCAGAAATTTGACCATGCCGACCGGTTCAGACGGGCGGTCGCCGTTTATAATGTTTTTCCCGCTAAAATCTTTGACAAAATTGGTTTATCGCAGAAGAGACTCTGTATGTACTGGGTTAAAATGAACCAATAATCGGATCTACCTCTATGTTGACAAGCATCAGGGACATCCCAGTTGGGACTCAGGCGCACGATCCCATGGTTTGAACAAGCTGGAATAGGCTAACTTGTCCCGTTACAACAACACAGATATCCACTATGAAAAAAATTAAACTGGCACAAAGGCGTACAGCACAACACTTTTTTTTTACAGGGAATGACCATTCCCACTAGGTAACGGAAACCGTAGGCGATTAAAAAGCAGCTCGGATTATACGGTGCTGGATAGCAGTTGTTCGTAACCAATTACACCGTACTCTTCCCAGGTAATTACTGAAGAGCCCGTCTGTGCTGCCTTGTCTTGGAATGTGGAATTTGTTTCTTGGCGTATGCTACTCTACGAATGTTTCATTGTCATCTGCCTGAGGCTGCGTTTTTCGGACACGCTGCTTCCACACTAGAAACCGGGAAGTTTATGAGATTCCGTGCTGCGTGCACAGTTCTCATCATAAGAGAGATGTCAAAGACCATCGTCATTGTCGGGCAACTAGCCTTTGTTACCTAAGGAATTACATAGAGAATAAAATAATGTCGCAAGAAATGGAGTTCGTATGCCGAAAATACTGGAGCGTTTACACTTCCGGGTATTCACTCAAGCAGTCTCGATAGAAACTGACAGAAAGAATATCATATCTGGCGGCGTCTGTAGCTAGTCACAGGGCGGATTTCGAGAGACCTATCTTGGAATACGAACAGTATCCAGAACTTCTGTGGTTTCCTCCAATACTGTCTGCCAACTTATGCGTACATCTGATAAGGAATGCATTGAAAATAACCTCCTTGTTAGACTCTCTTAGAGAGACATTAAATAAATTTAGGCGCTCTTTCGTTCTAGCCCGATATTTTCAAAGCAATCAAATTTTTCAATTCTTCTGGCAGCGGAGCAACTCAAGCCATCGCGATGGGACAAACGGACAGCCATCGATTGATATTCCGAACTTGCTGGATCAAGGCAACCCGACAAAAGTAACTGATCAACAAGCTCTGGCGTCCCTATCACGCAACAATCCAAGAAATTCATTAACACGTCACACACCTGTGAATTCAACGGAACAGAGGCTACCACTGTGGAGGGGCTTGGCATACCCTATGGTTCGCCCATGTAAACCTATACTTGCGACCGCCTCTGAGAGAACAGGCCGCCAAAGGAGCCACACACCCAGCACGTGCCGTCAGAACGGACTACAAACAGCTCCCGACAGTACGCTCCTACACGAACGAAACCCAATCAACAGACAGCCCTTCGGTGTAAGACCTGCGACATACTTCGAGCGAAAAGCAGAAGCCAGAGAAATTATAGGAGAACTACTGATCAAACCGATCCTGGCAAACACTGGTTTCGATAGAATAAGCGACCAACACCAAAAAGTAAATGGTACACATTTCAGGATGAGTAACAACTCAGCGGTTACCGGTGATACCCGGTGGGACGAACGCTATCGACTGGGTAAACATTCTGCTCCGGTGAAAGGTAAACAAACTCGCGGATGCAAAATTCGCTTGAATTTCTCCCAATCTGGGTAAAATTTAATTTTCGACCATCGAGGAGCAGATAGGGGAATCCATAACCATATGGACGCAAAGCAGTTTTGATGAAGACTTCGTCCTGTCAGCTAGGCCAATCTATGCTGAAAACCAAG